ATGTGCATTTAGTAACCGGTTTATTATCTCAATTATAACTTTCTTGATAGCCTATCTTAGACTCCAGCCATCGCCTTGAATAAATATCAAATATCAGATCCAAATGGTGCCTCGAGGCGACTATATTAGGTTCACACTTAACCATAAACAGGATAATTAGTTGTCTGCGCCCGGCGTACACAAGTGTTAATTTTCCCAAAACAAAGCACACACTCACATTCGGTTAATTAACACATTTTCGCAGTTTTCACAGTTTTCGCAGCTTTGGCCGGCACCTTTTCGGTTCCAAGCCGGTCCGCAAAAAGAGGCAAAGAGCATGCAAAACCTGGCCTCCTGGGGGGCAACGTGGCTTTCGATGGGTGCTCCGTCCATAACTTTTGCGGCCCAAAGTCGCTGCCAAGGCTGTGTGTGTATGCAAAGTACCTTGGAAAAAACCTGCAAACTCCCTAGCCAAATCCATGGCAACATGACCAGCAGGCAGCGGTAACGAAAAGTTTTGGACAATCCGGGCCGAAAACTTTCAAGATTCACAACTGCAACACTTGCAGTGTGTTGAGAGTGCACGCGCACTCGCTCATTCCGCTCACAGATACTCAACACACACGCACAGATGGGCCATTGTGCACATCCTACATATCCTGCCTGTTTACCAAATGAGTTTTGTGCTAGTTTGTTTAATGCCTTGGGCCGCAAAATTTATGATGACAGGCAAGGGGGGATGGGGATCCTATCTATCCGGAGAGTTTCTTGGTGTAATGGACAGATAACTGTTGCCTAATTGTTCTGACATTCATGCGAAGCAGTCATAAAAGTTTCATTCCACTTAATTCGTTCTCGATTCATGTAGTTTTATTTTATTCTCAGGTTATTGGGTTGTTTTCAAACGCTAAACTCGTTAGGAAACTTACTTTGAAGCTGACTTTTGAAGGGAAAATTATATTATTTTTCATACGTTAGAATTATGAATTAAGGTGTCGTTAGACGCTTATTTTCTTAGTTATGTATTTAATTCAAAGTTCAAATTTAAATGCGGATCATTTTCTGAACAATCCTTATTTTCGTTTGCAATTAAATATTAATTTTTCTATTTCCTGTGTTTAGTTTATGGTGCTCGTGTGGTTATTTAAAATTCCGATGGCTGCAAGCTAGTGCACCTGTTGCCCGGACAACCGTGTTCGCAAATTATGTTGGCTCAAAGGTAGCCGAATTTCAGCACACCCGGGGCATAAATTCCATTTCATTTAGCTGTTAATTCAATTTTATTTGTCACATTCTGCATGTGCCGCGCACGGTGAATTCAAGGGGGTCCACTTTGGGGGTGACACAATTATTGAATGCCACACGTAAATTAACCCAGAAACGTTCTCGTGCATGAAATGCCAAAAATTTAACTAAAATTATGCAGGAGGATGGCAGAAGTAAAAAAAAAAAACAGACCGGCAGAAAAACCACCGAAATGAGCGGCCTTTTGAATGGGATTTTCCAACTCCCATGGCTGGAATGCATAAAACGCTGATTGCAGCGTGTCTCACCCCCATTTTCCACTGATTTTTTTTTCCAAAGAACGTGACTGAGTTTACACGCAAATAAATACAAAACTTGTTAAGCGCTGCTGCGGCAACAAGAAAAACACCAATCCCCGGCACACTGGGGTTAAGCAGCTAAGCAAAAAAAAGGGCTAAAGAAGTGCAAGGAGCGCTGGAATACAAATATGAAATGCGACTGCCGAAACAAAAACGCAATTTATTTTCAGGCCCAATGCAAAACAAAAAAAAAATCTAAAAAAAATAGAGGAAAGCATAACTTTATCACGTGCCTGAAGTGCACGCCAGGTGGCGCTAGTCAGCGAGCAAAGCGGCAAACCGGAACCGGAAACGCCGCTGCTGACAGCAAAGCCTGTTTAAAAACGAAGGAAACACACAGCTGCCATCGCGTTATCTGCATTTTGTTGACTCCTTTTCCCTTGTTCCGCATTGTGCATGAAATATTCTCTATGTTGCGTTGTTTTTGCTGCTCCTGAACTCGAGGGCCAAGGTGAGATAAGTCGGGATTACCCTAAAAGAAAAAAGGAGCAAATGTTTCAAAGCCCTGGAAAACACTGTAGATTCACGATGCTGAAGCTTGGACACTGAGGCAAACAAATCGATTGAAAGTTAAGAAGCTTGAAGTTAAAATGCTGAAGTTCTTTTCGTAATTTCATGGCAACTTTATAATTTAAAATTAAGTTTATATATTTTTCATCAAACTTGGCAATCACTTCATGAAACATTTTTAATTAAGTAATTTGAATATATATACTCATTGTATTTCCGTGCCATTACTTTGTATTAAGAGTTTTGTTTAACAAACAGTGATTAAGTCCCCTACAAATAAAGTAAAGTGCCATTCAAATGGTAGCTTGGCTCATTTGAGTGTCGTCGAAGAGAAGTCAGAGTCAAAGACGAAACCCGGATGGATCCTTTGACAAAGGCAATGGCCCGCCTGCAAAGTCAAAAGTCCAGCTTTAGTGCCAGCTGATTAATCGCATTCGAAGGGATTTACATTTATGGCAGATGTGGGTGGCAGGAAGTGGGCGGGAAACACATGCAAATGTCACATTAGCTTAGCCTTATACTTTAATTAATTTCTAATCCCAGCTCGTTGAGGGCCACTGCAATTAGATGCCGATGCTTGTAGGCTGGCAAGGATTACAAGGATACAAACATTTGCCCCCCACACTTGTCAAAATCAAACACTGCACAAGCCGAGGGATATCAATTTGTGCATGTGAGTGTTAAGCACGGATTCGTTCGGCCGCCCATCAACTACAACTTAGACGTTTGAAATTTAATCGTCAATGGGAGTTTTTGAGGGTCACTGGGGGGTGCACATAATTAAGCTGCAACTTTGTGGGGGTTTATCCAATGTGAATTCAGAATAACCAAACCACAAGCTTTCAACATTAAATGCGATGAACTATTTGGGTAAGTTGGTAATCCAACATTGCGGTGGGGCAAATAGTTTAAGGGTCTCATAACTGTGGTTTTGGTTTGCGAATGTGAGGGAAAGTAGTTGTAATTTTAAAGCGATATTTTAAATGCCAATTTGGTTTTTCCTTTCAAAAGTTGTGAGTATAATTATGCATTTTTTATTCTCGTTAATCCATTTTTACGAACTATGTGCTAGTCCATTTTCTCTTATTTCCCCAAGACTAATTCCTTAGAAATTGTCATTTGAAGCATAATAAATTATTTATTGCTTTTAGCCAACAGCACAACAAGTGAAGAAGCCGTATTACAAAATCAATGAGGAGATGGGAAATCTTGCATAGCTAAATGTGCAAAATGAGTTAACAAACTGCCACGCCCACCGATTCGAGGCACTTTGATTTGTGTGTAAGGCAATTTATCTGGCACAGAATCTTTGCCTGCCACGCCCCACAGAAATGCCGCCCTCGCCCCTTCCTTTGCTCCGAGAGGCACTTTACACGCAAATTGTGTTAATTTGCATATTGGAAACTTTTGCCTAATTGAACATAATGCCACTTAATTAAAGTTAAGACAAGTTTTTGACGGTAAAATGGTTTTGAGCCCGAGGGTTCGAGGATGTCTTGGCAACTGAAAGTATGGCCAACATTTATGGCAGTTTGTGTTGTTCAAATTTACGGCAATTAGTTTAATATGAGCAGATTATGAGGGTAGCCGGACGCAGTAGCAGGACGCAATAAAATCCCTTAGGCTGTGGGAAATTAATTTTCGGGGGCATCCCCAAATAAACACAGGCACTGACATATGGAAATCAATTAGCACTCGAAAGTTATGGCCTTAAATGTTTAATGCCCCCCTCCGAATTTGTGTTTGGCCGGCTTATTGTTAGTTGTTTGAATATTTATTAACAATCAGTCTGGACTTAAAAAAGGATTCGTGAGCGGGAAAAAATGATTTACTAAGGACATATTTTAATTTTTAAATACAAAATTAAATTGTTTAAAACGATTTAAGTTTAATTTAATTTTCATTGGTACACTTCTAAATGAGTTTTATAGATATAAATATGTTTGGTAATTCGTATTGCTTGTTATCTAGTAATCCTCGACGATCAGCGCGGTTCCAGCTAAAAGAATCTGTTCCGAAGTGCCCGTCACATTATCAACATTTAGATGGCAAATTAACTTGTCCCGACTGCTCCGCGAATATAGGGGCAACTTGGGCTTCGATTCGTTTCTCTGGGTGGGATACAAAGAATTGTTTCCATATTTCGATTTACTGGCACTCGCAGTATTGGGGTCTTCCATTATTTTGTAACTGATGTAAAAGGGGTTCGATTTGTCCATTCCACTCTTGGCGCCATCAATCTGCAAGGGAAAATGTACCAAGACTTTAAAATATATTTTAATTTAAATTAAAATACCCTTGCAGACGGAGACATTTCCGACCCTGTTAAGTTTATATATTCTAAATCGCTATATTAGTAAATTTTCTCACTTTTCTTAAAACATTTCACTCTCTGAAATTTTCTTGGGACACCACATGGCACCACCTGTTGGTTTTACACAGTACCAATGCATTTTACATGCATTTTACATTCTGTAAAGCAGTTCAAAGCAGTTGTTGGCGGGTAAATTTTAAATTTGGTTTATAAAATAGTAGATTTCTTACATGAGTGATGTTAAATACTGAGTGCATTTCAGCAGCAATTTTAACAGAGGGTTACCAAGAAATGGAGTGGAACCAGGCTATGTGTGCAAGAACTTGAGTGAGAAGTTAACAGAGCCAAGAAAATATCGTTAGAGACGGATAGACATCGATAAGTTCTGCCAAACATCGATAGTACCGATATGTTGGTGCTGCCACCTCTAACAGAGAAAGTTCGGAAAACGTCGAACTAACAGAGAACTGTTAGGAAAAAGTCGAACTAACAGAGAAATGTTAAAAAAACGTTGATATAACATTGTTAGAGACGTATAAGCATCGATACTCTCTGTTAAGAATCGGTAGTACCGATATTTAGGAAAAATCGATGACTTCGATGCTTCTCCACCACTATCACCCACCTCTACCGGAATGTCAATCAAATGAAAACAAAAAAAAACTGCGTGAGAAAACTGAAAAGAACGGGCAAAATCGGCTGATTTCGATGCATTGAACGTGAAGCGGGGAACCGGAAACAGGAGGCACAGGATCACGGAAACGGGCGCCATGGAAACGGCCAGAATGGAGACGGCGATGGAGACCCACTTTATGGCCAAAATGGGGAAGGTGAGACACAAAGACAAGAAGACGCACAGAAGCCAATGGGGAAAATAGGTGAAGGAGGGGGAGGAGGACGGAGGATGCCAACAGTCCCCCAAAAGATATATAGATATATCTTTTAGGATGTGCTTCTAGTCATTGTTACTATTACATTGTTACCTATTCCAACTAACCAACAACATATGCACATATGATCACAACTTAACCATCCTAAAACCTGCCAAATTATATTGGTTTACCTACTAGAACAGCAATGCTGCAGAACTTTAAGATCTGGTTTTACTGCACTGATGTTTATATACTTTTTTCAATGGTTTTAATTGTAACTAAAGGACGTGACGTAGTCTGTCTAAAATCCTAATTTATCCAACATATGAAAATATTTAAAACAATACATTTTGCTGGTTTTGTTTACATTATTAGGATACAATATAGAAAACTTCTAATTGAAATACGAAATGCTCTTTAAGCTTTTTATGCTTAGTAATAGGGGTTCAGGAAAATTGCAAATTACATCTCAATTTGATTAAGCCATTTAAAAATCTGGTATGCCAATTAGGCTCTATTAAATCTATAAGTTAGTTGCTTAAAGACCGTCTAAAACCATATTCTTCTACTCACCTTTAAGGGCGCCAGTTTGATAGTTACACCATTACAATCTCCATCCGAATTTAGTTGCCCACAAGTCTGGAGCTGCAGACGTTCGGTGGAAACGGCCAACTTTCGTGACTGCAGCAACTTCAAGCAGGCCAAAAGGTTCTCACAGTTGAACACTTGGATCAGATTGATCTCCTCGCCAAACTCCAGAGCCAGTTGCTCCCGAAATCGCAACTCGGCAGCCTGGACGCGAACAATTAGAGCTCTCAGAAAATCCACGGCACTGCTGCTGCCAGGTCCACTCCATAGTTTCAGCCAACTGGCAGGAATCTAACGAATAACATAATTATATATATTTCCTTATACTTGTCAGTGTATAACCTTACCTGTTGTTCTGCCAGGGCTCTCAGTGTACTGCCATCCACGTCCTGCGAGTCCTTGAGCCAGGCATGCATCTGCGACAGAGTCTGGTGCACAATGCCATAGAGATCGGCACCTACTTTCAATTCGGCCAGCACAAACAGTGCCCAGGGTGATTCTCCCGATTCAGATTTCGCCTCCTTAACAGTTTGCATTATCGTACAGGACCCGGCTAGTTTTCTCCACAAATTCAGCAGGGGTTTAATTTGCTGTTCGAGCTTCTGACGATCAGTGAGCTGATCATTGGAATCTCCCGATCCTCCTGAGTCTCCAGCTGATCCTCTGCCATAGTGCAGACCCCTCAGTTCCTTGATAACTCTTTTTGCCTGCTCAATTTCGCGTTGTTGCTGGGCCTGATTGGCCAAACCATACATACTGGGCTCATCCAGTTCGGGAAGCTTTTCCAATGCCGCATAATAGTCCTGCAGCTGGCCACTAGTGGGTATGGATAGGGATAATCCCAGAGGAGACCAGCGATTGCTCAAGACATCAGCTGAACAGAACTGTTGTAGATAGGTCCTCAGTATCTCCAAGTCCCTCAGGTTGTTGACTCTCCCACCAAAAGCTAGGGCTTCACTCAGTCGTTGCAACAGCAACCAGTCACATTTTCCAGAATTTAGTTGCTGATCCATCCATTTAAGAATACCCAAAGCCGCCTTGAGATCCGCTTCGCCAAATTCATAGTACTTGGACCAACCTTGGGGAATGAATTGCCGCCTTTGCTGGAGCACTGCAGTTAGAATGAAATAAACCAGTCGCATCTTGAGACTCTTCGGTTGGTTCTTGAAGCTCTGATCTTGCTCAGCTGCGTAGTTTTGCAGCAAACGCATAACAATCTGCTTGAGTCCCTTGGGCTGTTCGTATCGCACTTTGAGGCACTTAAAGACTGCGGACTCGGAAAATCCTTCGGTGGACTCGCACAGCAGCCACAATCGAAAGTCCTTAGACTTTTGAATCTCACTCAGTTCCCTTTCCACTTGGGCCAGGAATTCCGGCACCAAGTGAACGTTCTTAACACACAGCCAGTGGCCATCTATGGCAGCCTGTCGCATTTCGGCCAGAACTCGCTTCTCAGCACCTTTGCCAATGGCCGTTTCCCTGTACTTTTGATTGGCCCACTTTCTCAGCTCAGTGGTGGGATCATTTTCCGCCTGACTAATCATCAAGATGGGGCGATCACAGCTGCTTTGCTGCAGCAACTGCTCCACAGAAGGTTGTGTAGAGGCATCTGTTGAAATTCCCAGCAGATCACTGCTCACTTTTCGCAGTTGATGAAGCATCAAGTCGGGTCGGAATATCTGAGCAATAAGTATGCGCTGGAAACTGGAGCCCAAGGCAGCTGTAAGTGGGAAAATGTTACCTTTCCATAGAAAACATATTAAGTAAATAATTTCTCTAACTTACGCAGCACATCGTCCGCTTGAGCCTCGATGAATCCTCGCCAGATATAGTCCTTGTCCAACTGCAGTTTGCTTCGCAGATCCGGAAAGAACTGCAGCAACATGGCCAGCTTTAATTGGGCTTCCTTGCCCATACAATCGGGCAGTTTTCCCAGCTGACCTAAGAGCATACTGCCATCTGATGATCCCATGAAATTGTTCACAAACAACTTCCACTCCTTGGGGCTCAATTTATCGGGATATGCCTGATGACACACCCACAGTGATAGGGAAAGCTGACCATCTCTGGCAGTGGCTCTTGCCAAATTCATGTAAACACTTCTCACCAGTAACTCGTAGACCTTTGACTCATCTCGTTGATTTTTGGAGAGTGCCCCCAGAAACAGTTCTATGTAAACTAAGGCGGATAACTCATAGCCTTGAGTGAGACCAGCATAAAAGGCTGAGGCCTTGGCACAAAGTTCCCGCAAGGAACCGAATTGTGCTAGTAGAGTTTCTCTAATTTTTCCACTTTGCTTAAGGGCCTCGTCTATTTGGGCGCTGCTTTGTTTCACCTCATTCAAACTGGCCAAAAGTTGCTCATTTCGTAGGATATCTCCTTCCGATTTTGAGAGCTGTTCAAGAAGTTTGTCCTGCATTTCCATTCGCTGCTTGAGCAGATCTCCCTCTTTTTGTAGCAGCTCTATCCTCTGCTGCTCCAACTCGGCATTTTGTAAGACAATCGCCTTGGACATTAGTTGATCGGCCAGGCCAGCTGCTGTGACCGTGAATCTCAGAAGGTTTAGTTGACTCCTTTGCTCTTCGGGTAAATGCAGACGATCGGATTTACTGATCAAAACCAGTTGGAAACTCTCGTGGAGATCCACCAGTTTTGAGCCAATGGCTAATTGTCTCTTGTTGAATCTCACATAAACGTGACCCTGGAGCAGCTGAAGGATCGGAGGACGTAGTTGCTCGCAGTCGGTTACCAGAAGAGTCTTTCCAAAACGCACTGCCAGCTCCAGCTGATAGGATAGTCTTTCGTTTCCATGGGTAGTCAGTTCGCAGGCCCTTCCGCTTCCCTTGAGATGGGCCATCAACCACTCGGCTGCTGTTTGTGTGGGATCCAAGAGCAGGGGAATGGGACAGGCTCCATAGGGTAGAGAAAGTATTTCCCTGAGAAGGGCAGCACTCTCGATGATCTGGGCATCGCGTGCTAGACCCTGACTCTCCCAAATAATCTGCTGTTGTTCCGTGAGCAGTGTTCCACGCAGATCGAAGTTGGTGGGCAGATGAAAGTCCTCCGCCAGACGCTTGAGCGAAGAGCTTTGGGAATATTACCATTATGAGTTTTAAAATTCTTAAATTGGGAAGTAGATAACTAACCTTCTCTGTTCCAGGCCCAATTCCGCATAGTAATTAACAGCCATGGCTATCAATAGGGTCTTGCCATCCAGTGTTTTGTGGGCCTTCTTCAGCTCCGCCAACTGATCACTCCAGGTGGCATATTCCGCACTTAGTTTGCCCACCAGGAGCTCTGCTGTCTGCAGAGTGCCACTGGCCTCCTGGAGCTTCAGCTCCAGCACCGCTGCCTCTTGGGTGTAAGTCTGCAACTTGGCCGACAGCTGCTTGACCCTTTTGTCCACGTCGTCCAGTCCACTGGCCAATTCCTGCATTTCGTCCTCCGCCGCATTGAGATTCTTCTGCAATTCGTTCTGCTCCCTTTCGAGGGGCTTTATGCTCTGGATCACCCGGGAATAGCGGACACTGGCCTGCACCCAAGCGGCCAAGGGAGCGGCTGCTGCCGAGGCACGTTTCGCGTTTTTCGACTCATAGGAATCGCCCTTGGCCAGGAGTAATCGTTCCACGGCCTCGCAGTTTTCGGGACTGATTCGAGCCGGATCCAAGGATCTGATGTCCTCTTTCACACCCCTCTTGGCCAGAAATGTCTTCATGCTGTTCCAGGAGGTGTCTCGTATGCCCATCAGCCGCAGCACACCCTCCAAGATGTCCCTCACAGCCTCTGGAGGAGCACGCAAAGATCTGATTTCGGACAGAGCTTCCGACTTGATTTGACCCACTGCATTGCTGGCCTCCGCCAAAATTGGTTCCACTTCGGCCAATTCCTGTTGGATTTCCCTCTGCCTGACTTTCAATTGCTCGCTGCTCTTTTGCGTCTGTTGTTTCAGTTCCAGCATGCTGGATTTCTGTTCGTTCGCATTCCTCATCGTGGATGAAATCATTTCCAGAGCTTCATTGGCCAGCTGTCGCTTCTCACCCAAAGCCTGTTCCTGAGCTGCTGCATTGGATTTTAGGGTATCGACTAGGGCGTGAGCCGAGGCCAATTTGTCCACTCCCATTTGCAGTTTGCCCAATCTCTGATCGATTTCATTGACTGCATTGCTGTACATGTGGAAATAGCTGCGAATTAGTTGGTAATATCTTTGCGATGGCTGATCTGGGGGAAGTTCATCCGATATATCAGCAAAATGACTGCAGGCGGGCACCTTGCCACGCCCACTTCCGCCGCCTGCCACCGTATCGTTTAGCAACTCGATATATTGTTTGGGCAGATTGGCTAAGGTTTCCCTGGATTCAGCTCTAACATACAGCAAATCCATTTGACGATGCAGGGCAGGGAAATTTTTGAAGTAGTCCTGCACATTGGAACTACTCGGATCCAGAACTAGAACGATGTGCAGATTCTCACGGGCACCTGAAATTAAATGTATTCAATTAAAAACCATGTAAAAAACATTCTTATATTCCTACGCTTCATGAAGTATGTTCCCAGAGATTCCTGGTATCCCTCCAGCTGTGCCGCCTGCTTGAGCGTACTGGCCACCGTCTCCAGATCATCGCCAAAAAGCTCTAGGATTTCGCTTCCTTCGAGCAGGGCTTCGATGGGTTTCAAAATATCCGGCACATAAGTAAGCCAGCAGTGTTCGATGAGCAGGTAGCTCATCTGCTGCTCCAGGGCAGCCGTCTGCATGGCAACTTTAAGATCGTTGTAGAACTCGGAGAGATCGTAGAAGGATCCTCCTTGCAGAGTTAGCACCTTGGCCTCCTGCAAAGTGGCCGCCGTGTATATGGCATCCAGGTGTCTTCCACCAGATTGCGCCAAAATAAGCATGTGGGCATCGGTTCGCGATAGAACTCTGGTTATTCTAGCAGTGTTGTTCAGGAGTTCTTCGGTGATGGGAGCCGAGATGCTGTAGCTTTCGGTATCTGCGGGAAATAAGACAATTTATAGTTATATTTAGTTGCATTGTACTAACATGTTTAGTTCTTATTGCTATCCTCTTTGTGAAATTTAATATTTTTGAAGCTGTTCCCTCGCAATATAAAGCTCTCTCATTGAAGTTGGCCTCTGAACCACTTTTTCTTCACATCTACTGCAATACTTTTTAAATAGAAAAAAAACAAACCGATGCTCAGACGAAATTCGATGATTCTGTGTACTTTCAGTGGATGACCCCCGAGGAGGAGGCGCGACAGAAGTTCATCATGCGGGAGCGGGATCGCGAGCGGAAGCGGATTAAGCGCATGAATCCCGAGTACCGGCAGATGGAACGCGAGCGGGATCGATTTCGCAAGCTGACGCCCAGGCCCAGTGTAGTTATCCCCGATTACCCCAAACTATCATCCATCTCCTCCTCTTGTCTTGAAACTGCGGAATTACCACCGGGCAACTTCAACTGATGCGTGAGCAGAACCATCTGACATTGAATCTATTTATTGGTTAAAATATAGGTAGGGAATAATTTTAAAAATACTTCAAAAAAGTGAACCCTTCAGATTGCAAGTCACTCAATATCAATTAACATTTTTAAGAGATAAATTAATCAGGGTCTTAGGGAAAATGGAAAGCTGATTTTAAACCGAATTTAGGAGTTCCTCTTTTGATTTTCAGATTAAAACTAAAAATATAAAAATATTATTTAATACTCACTGCAAATGGTCACCTGTCTCTGAACTTCCTCCAGCCATTCGTCGTGAGTTAGGCAATGCAATTGACCCCGCGACTTCGGCGATTTGGGCACGAAAAAAACTTTCTGAAAGGGTGTCCTTCATTAGCTTAGTTTTCATTTGCCAAACTGCAGACTCAACTCACCTCCTTGCCGTAATATTTGCGCATCGTTTGCTTGAGTATCGCCTCGAATTGCTGGACATGCTCTTCGCTGATTAATCTGTCGCGGAACATGCCTAAAAGCTCGCAGTAGAGTGCCTAAAAAGGTACGAAAATTTTCAATCTGATTAGCCATAAACTGAAGAAAAAAAAATAGGACAAATCTCAGCTAGGAGGAAATTTATAGTAGTTGTATAATACTGCATATATTTTGTTTCAAAAAGTATGAGCAAAAAGTATTCAGTGTAAAGACTAAATACTGGATTCTTCTTGTATGATAATAAGAATTATTTTAATCATTAACATATATTTTTCTCCCTTTTAGCTTTTAAATTGATTTAAAATTATATCGTGCTAAAAATTAGCAAACCGGATTTTGTTTTGCAATCTCTTTTATAAAGAGTCATATTTTCCCCATCATTTTTCTCACTGCAAACATACCTCGTTGAAATCAGTAACTGGATAAAAGACGAGGGCGTCCAGCAGCTTCATGATGCATTTGGGGCTGAACTGGTAGTGTGCCTGCCTGCCTCCCGTGGCGGTGAAAGTCGCCTGCAGCTAAAAGAGGGTGAAGTCAATTAGCTGGCCCTGTGATGATGAATTCCAGCAGGGTGGCTGAGGCTACCAACCTTCTCGAAGCACTCCATCAGGCTCTCGCTGACGTGCTGCAAATTGACCCCCGATCCTCCTCGATGGGCCAAACCCCTGAAGTGCTCGCCCAGAAGCGGTTCCAATCGTCGTTGCACGATTTCCAGCATATCCTGACTGGTGGGTTGTGAGACTCGCACAAACTGATTGATGGCAAAGTAGCGCGGTGCGATTTTTCCGGTGTTTCCGCTAATGGAGGCGCATATTTGCAGCCCGCTAACGCCAATCCATTCCAGATTCTCGGCGTAAAAGCCTCCTCGTTGCACCAGTTGGAGCAGCAGCTCCACCACTTCGCAGGCTCCCCAGGAATCCTGCTGGCAGAGGTCCAAGTTCTTCATAAAGAGCACTAGTCTTGCCTGTTTTGGTCGGTACTCCCGTCCCTTGATGCCGCTCACTGTGACGCAGTGCATCCTCAAAGTGTGCAAAATGTAACTGGGTGTTAGTTGAGTGGAACAGTTAATGGTGGCCAACTGGTAGCCAGAGTTATCCAGCACTGCTCTCTGGAGCAACAGGGTTTTTCCCGCGCCACTGGGACCTATCAACATAAAGGGCGGCACTCTGCTGCCCTGAGTTTTTAGCAGGGATTCCAGTGTGTCCAAATACGATTTCATGTAGGATGTAATTATTAGTTGAGAGCCCTTCTCAGCTGTCTCCATTGCATCCACTGGATATTGCTCAAGGGAACGTCTACGACTATCATAGTAGGTTAGCTCAGCGTAGTTGGGATTGCCTATGTAGAGATTGGCGCGTTTCAATACCATTTGGGCGAACTCCCGCTGCCGATCGTTGGGCATATAACCAAAGAATGCCCTAAGGGTGGCTGCTCCGTATTCCTCCAGAGACTGGGAGCCATGGAGTTGTAGCAGCAGTGAGCGCATGATGTGGGCACGGTTTATACCAGGTAGATGACTGTGGAAATATGCATATATATTTAGATTTTTATTGAAAATAATTAGCTGTAAATTATATGGTAATTCTTATTTGTTATCATTTAACATCAGTAACTCACTTTAACAAAAGTTGACTCTCCAGCCAATCCACAGCATATTGAAAATTACCATCCACATAGTTCTCCAACAGATCGCCATAGGGTTCCTTCGATAGCTCATGTTTAAGCAACTCCTTGGCCGGAAAGTAGTCAAAGCTTTCCAAAACAATTAAATAATAAGTTTATGGAAGTTTGGGATTAAGTTTAAGACGCACCTCATGTTGACAATACCCATTCTGGAAATGGTGGCCGGTGAGGCATGCCGCACATCGTCTGTTTCGAAAATAAAGTTGACATTGCTGCCGAATTGTATCCTCCAGCCCGATGGCAAGGTCAAAAGCCTGTAAAGATTTCAGTTTCAAGACAAGATGAGTGGAGAACACAGTGCCCCAAATAAGACCATGATTAGCCACACAAGAACACTGCCCGAGATTCAGACTCAGATCGAGATCGAGACATGACTGCCGTTTGCCAACCAACCACTCTCTCTGTAATTTCAGCTGATGACCCCCGAGGAGGAGGCGCGCCACAAGTTCATCATGCGGGAGCGGGATCGCGAGAGGAAGCGGATCAAGCGCCTCAATCCCGAGTACCGGCGAATGGAACGCGAGCGCGATCGATTCCGCAAGAAGGCACGACGTGCTAACGTAGCATTTTTCCAATATTCTATATCTTATCTTAAAACACCAATGAACCCACACTCGAACACTCGAATCACACGACACGCACACACACACACACACACTCACTCACATGGCTTGAGATTAGGGGGTGGTAGGGGGACTTAGAAGATCCCGGGACCGTTGACACTTCTCGAAACCCTCCGAACCAATCAGACAAACTCCCACAGTTTGTGTGGCCCCGAACACAGTGCTTTAATACGCTTTTCCCCTGTTTCCCTCTTTCCATCTCCGATTGCAGTTGACCCCCGAGGAGGAGCTGCGCCTAAAGATGATCCAGAGGGAGCGGGACCGGGAGAGGAAGCGGATCAAGCGCATGAATCCCGAGTACAGGAGGCTGGAGCAGGAGCGTGACAGGGATAGAAAGAAGGCGCGGCGGGCCAACGAGGCCTTCAGGCAGCTGGAAAAGCTGAGGGACAAGATCCGGAAGGACCGGAAGAAAGGCCTACTCGTAACGGATCCCGCGCAATTACCGCCGGAGTTCGCGGCCATGATACCGCCAGTGCCTGTGGTGAAGCCCGAGGTGGGTGTGCCACCGACCCCGCCCCAGGGTCAGCAGCCCTCGCCACTGCTGCAGCAGCAGCAGCAGCAGCAGCAGTTGCAGCAACACCAGCAGGTGCAGCAGCAGCAACAGCAGCAGCAGCATCAGCAACCTCCGCCCACGCATCTACAGGAGCAGCAGTTGAGTCACCAGCTGGCGCATCAGCGGAACCGCATGATGACCAGCCAGCTCACCCAGCTGGCCACGCCCCCCGCCCATGCCACGCACCTGCAGCAGCTGAATAAGCTGCAGCAACTGTACCCGCCTCGGAGCTTCGGCCATCCCGCATTGCCCATCGCTGGAGTGACGCTGATGCCGCAGCTCTGTCACCCCATCCTGCATCAGAACCTTAGTGCCAGTCTGTACCCGGGTCCGCCGAATGGCATCAAGCAGGAGTACGGGCAGGACATTTCCGCCTCGGCCATGGCAGCAGCTCAGGCGGCGGCACTGGCCTCACTGAGGAATCCGCAGCAGCAGCAGCAGCAGCAGCAGCAGGATGATGCCGAAATGGTCATTAACCTCGAACCGGAGATCGTACTCCAGACCGGGCCCGATGTGAATCCCGCGCAGCCACCGCCACAGCAGCAGCACCATTTCAGCGCCCATCAGCAACAACAGCAGCAGCAGCAGCAGCAACATCATCTCCAGCAGCAGCAGCATTGCAACATGTTCCAGCATATGGCACCCCAGGCGCACATGCAACACATGCGATCGCTGCCGCCACCGCCCCCTCGTTGCCCCTGCCGTCACTGCCGCCCCCGCCACCTGCAACGCACCAGCAACAGCAGCAGCAGCAGCAACAACCTGCCGCCCCACAGCAACTGCAGCATGCACCGCAGTGAGGGGTTCTCACCCGTAGTCCTAAGCTCAACTCTCTAGCCAGCTAAACGCATCCGAAAGTTTGAGGGCACACACGCCTGGAGTTGTGATCTAACTAGTTATGTGATTCTCAAATCCCATTTACCGAGCAAGAAATGATTTTGGCGAAATCTTAGTACAATTTTTGTATGCTCCCAATCAAAACTTTCTACTACTTTCTACCCTGAGAATGATTTAGTAGGAAAACAGTAAAAGTGCTGTTTAAAAACCAACTTTAAATAACTTAATTCCCTTTTTATTTTTGGAGCAATGGATATTTTCAAAAGTATTTTTTTTTCATGTTTGTCTTTGTGTTAACGAAAAAATTATTTTCTATATATATAACCGATACAACACTTTTAAAGGCTGCCTTTTTGTCACACAGCTTTAAAGCATAGAATAACAGAAACTATCAATATATTTGCAACCTTCTCAAAGGCCATATTTAGTTAATAACTATTTTTCCACCAATAGCATATGACAGGAATCAGCTACAGGAAAACCTTTTTCGACTTTCCAATGATAAGACGTTGTGATAAAACGATAAAGCTTAAATACTCATCAGAGTTGAGGAAACTTGTGGCAAAACTTATTGCGTATATATTCGAAATAATTTGTCTACAATATTTAATTTAAATAGAGGATTGGTTAAGATATTCATCTATGTATTTATTCCGAACCTTCATTCTATATTTAATCTTAAAACGATTTCCCCAAATATCCTATAGTAGTCACAACTCTCAAGGATGTGTGCCAACATCTTAAACGCACACACTCGCACTGAAACACACCCATGTTCATTTTTGTGTATGTTAAGTAGACGCCATTTGAAAAATGCCGATACGTATTATGTTGCGTTACGCAATCCGCAGTACGTTACTTTAGTGGGCTTCCCCGTCATAATTTGTTTATGTCGTCATCGTTTCAAGCATTTCTCTGTTTTTTTAGGTCTGTACGAATTTTGTTTAGTCGCTAAGTGATAGACGATACAATATTTGCAAGTTTAGGATGATACGATCTACAATACGATATAACGATTACTGTATACCTATATGATATAATGATAGTATGGCCAGCCGCGAAATAATTATTACGAATTTATGCGCAAAAACGAGCGAAATATAAGAAGCAAACAAGTATTGCTAAAGACATGAACTCGTGTTCTATATGAAGGGTGTATAAATTAAACTGTAAACAATGTAATTAAGTTTCACTCACTTGTTATCGTCCAGAACCGAGTTGAGTGCCTCTATCCACTCGGGATCTATGCTGCCATCGCAGACGATCCACGAGTGCACTTGGGATGGCTCCTGGTTGACGGCCACCGCTGTGTGGGTTAGTACTCCGTCCTGCCACTGACGCGTATCAGCATCCAGCCGTCCCAGCAACTGGACGCGACTCATGGACTTGGGACTGATGGTGTGCACTCTCAGTTGGGACCCACCACTCAGAGCCTGTTTAAGGAGGGCCATGACGGTGGACTTGCCACATCCTGGCGGTCCAACCAGCACCACTCCCATTCGCTTTTGGAGCTGTTCGTGCAGCTGCAAAGCCTTTTCAATTTGCCTCTCGCTGCGGCAGAGTCCCAGTTGCGCAAAGGCGGCGGATAGAGATTGATGGAGCAGCGTTTCTGGCGCCGTCGAGCTGCCAATCTCCGGGAAAACATTCCGCAGCAGCATCTCGAAACGACTGACATCATGAGGGGCCAACTTGGACATGGTGGAGGAGCGCAGGCATCGCACCACCACCGACATCTCCTCGTTGGCCAGCGTGTTCTCCGGTTCACTGGTTAATTGCCCCCTCAAACCCTCGCCGCACACCAGGAGCACTGTCTTCAGCTCACGCAGTCCCCAGTCGTAATGCCGCTGGACAGATAGCATTTTGCCGCACAAATCGAATAGCTCCACGATGCGGGATGCAATGGATGAGGCCTCCGAAAAGCCCTCGACGAAGAGCATAACCCGGGCGATTTCCCCGGGCTCCGGCTGCTGCATCACAATGGGCCGGAATAGGGCCTGGATGTTGCCGGGCAGCTTCTGGCGACCACCATACTCGGCTCCGGCCGGATTCAGGGTGACAAAAATGCCACAGTGCTGGTTGAGTTGAACCTGTGCAAGAAAGGTAATTAATGATGATTTGTGGGCTTACATTAATTAATTATTGAGTTTTAATCCTAATCCTAATACCTTTAGGTATTCAAAAAAAAATATTAAAAACGTTGTGTTATAGAAATACTATAAACAACCAATCTCAAGATGTTTTGCATGCAAATAAACTTCGTTTAACGCATTTACTTACAGGTCTTTAAAATCAATAAAAATTTAAAGTTTTTACTATGAAAAGTCGCAAAAACAGGTAAGTTTTTTTTTTAAAAGCAAGCTATGTAACTTCAACCGACAGCCAACACAACCAATCAAGCCATTACTCTTGTCACACCAATTTCAACTTCAACCCGGTCCATAACTCATCCTGCTCACCTGTCGCTCGCCAATCTGGACGCTGTTTGCCCGCTCCTTCAGGGCGCTCTGGATGGGCTGGATCAGCATGGAGATGGACGACAGGGTGGCCTCCTGCAGCCGGTTGAACTCGTCAAAGCAGCCCCAAGCCCCGCAGCGGGCCAGGCCAGTGAGGATGAGGCTCATGGACTCGGTGTCCACATTCTGCAAACAATCCACGACATTATGACGTATGGCAAAGGCATTAGCATGCACTCAACAAAACGATTATTAACAACTGAAGTTACTTGGCTTTAAAATATTTTATAGAAATTGAAAGAACTAAATAACGAAATTGTACTTTTAAAGAGGGTTCTACAATATCAGTCAAAGATTTAATTTGCACTTTTCTTAAATTTTTACAAATATACTTCGAAGTATAGTGATGATTTACTATTTTAGAACTACAGTTTTAATTAGTAGCTGCAAATCGGAGTATTAAATAATTGCATTGAGAACATTACCGATTGGCTAAAGAAATTATAGAAAATTTTTTTTATCTGACTGTAATTTATTTTATGTTAAGGTATTCTAACAATTTTTTAAAAATAATAATGAATAATTAAAAATAATGTTTATTTTATAGGTGCTGTGAGCACCTGCTAGGCATTTTTCTGAGTGTGTCGCCTGACTCACCTCGTCGCAATTGAAAACCAACACCAATCGTCCCAGCATGGCCCCCAGGGCCTTGACGCACTCGGTCTTTCCGGTGCCAGCCGGGCCAAAGGGATTACCGCCCAGGCCCATGTGCATGGCCTGGGTGAGGATGAGATAGCAGCGGTGGGTGAGCCGCGTGTGGACCAACTTGCTGGCCTGGCCGAGAAACTCGTAGGCGTATTCAAATTCGGCATAAACCATGCGCACACAAACTTGTCGATTGGTATTGGCATTAACGCCACCCGATGTGCTCGATGGTGTGCCGCCCACTTTTCCCAGGTAATATCTGAGTTGACACAGCCAGTGCCAGTCGCTGGTGTGGACCACGCTGTGTTTCTGGAGCTGCTCCACCACCCCGGAGTAGTGCACTAAGTCGAGGAGAAGGGCTCTTAGCTTGAGACTTATCAGGGATCCACTTTGGGATTTGTGTTTCAGGGCGGCCAAATGGGTGATCTCATTCTTCAGCTGTTGGTGCAGTTTCCCCAAGGACATGCCGCCGATTGCCTGCTCCGTCTGGCGGGTGAAGTGGAGTGCTCTGGCTGTGGCCAGCACCTGACTGGCATAGCTTCTGAGGATTTTCTCACTGAGGTTATCACTGCCGCCGGTGGTGCTGGTATAGCACTCGTAGATCTGATCGCGCAGTGTATCCTGCACCACTGTGACCAGTTGATTCAGCCAGCGCTGTTAATTGTCAAATATTTTAACTTCATATTCCAACACTTAATTGGCCAGTGACTCACCTCGATGTCGCCCTTCATCTCGACGGGCTGGCTTAGCCTGAGCTCATCGCCCTCGGCACTGTGCACGGCCACGATGCTGTACTGATTGGTATCGGAGGATGTGGCAGGATTAGGGGCCGGCTGCCGGATGCTGAGGCTGTGGCAGCCCGGGAACAGTTTGCGGATGTGCCGCTGGATGACATCCGCATCCTTGCTGGCCTGTCCCAGCAGCTCGAGCAGATCATCGTCACCCAGGAAGTAGAAGCGGGGAAAGGAGTTGCGCTTGTCCTGTGAAGGTGATTTTATGTCCTTTTATATGCATGCTTTGTTGGAATGGATAATCACTCACGGTTATGTAGCTCATCAGGTTCTGCTGGCACCTGGCCAATTGGGTCTCCAGGGCATTGACAATGGTGCTGATGTTGTTTATCTTCGTCAGCGAAGTGACCCGCGGATCCATCTCGATTTCCCGCATCACGAAACGAAAGTCCTTGTCGATGCGCTTGAACAATGCCTGCTCCTGTTGCAGGGTTCCAGATCCGAAGACAGGCTCCAAGTAAACCCAACTGCGAGAATGTAAGATTAAATAAAATAGTCAACTTAAGATTAAGAATTGTTACTGGTTCTAAGCAGGGAGTGTAATCATTATAAGTTTTATAATACAAATTACTACTTCCTTCTTCAATGGAATTTATTTTTGAGTAATTTAAAATTTAGTTTAATTTAAAAAATTTTTAACTAATTTATTTCATTTTTTCTAGAACTCAAAAGATTGAACTGGTGAACAAGTTTTTTGTATTATCACAGGATAGCAGTAGAGTTTCTTAATAAGTTTACTCTGAAATAAGAACATTTTCATTTCTTATACATTATTTAATTGAAACTTTTATCAAACCATTTTGTATTATAATTAATATATGAAATATTTAACTCACCGCCTCTGTGAGTGATTTAAGCTGCTAAGAAGGGCATCCAATGTGTTCAGGCGACTCTCCCAAAGCTCTGCCTGATCCGAAAAGCTGTCGAAGGCAGCCGAGTTCTTGGCGGATTGCAACAGCGACTGATTGTCCCCGATCTTGTTGAGCACTTCCTGGTAGTCCTTGATCAGGGAGACACTCTGGCCCGAGGCATCCGTCCTGGTGATCAGTTTCAACTGGGCCGTGACTGACCACTGATCGAGCTCGACCAGGGCCTGTCTCACAATCTGTTCGCTCGAAGCCTGCCTGACAATACTGCCGATCTCTGGGGCAGCCGATTGAAGGGCATCAAAGTCATCTAGGATGTCCTGGAGGATTATAGAGTGCAGGGGCTTGGGGCTCTTGTGGTTGAGGAGCTGCAGTATCCTGGCCCAATGGCGTTCACTCAGGGAGTCCGACTGCAGCTGCTGCAGGATTGGCAGAGCCGATTGAAGTCGCTCCACCTGCAGACGGATTCGCTTGGAGGGCAGATCAATCGAGGCATGGACGGATCCCTCCCACTTGCCAATGAATTCGTTCAAGACATACGGACGACGCCGGTAAATGGCCCACTCCTCCTGCAGAATTGGCTGCAGTTCGGTGAGAAAACCATCATACACCTGCCACTGTTTCGATTGCTGCTCCATCTGCTCTTCGATTTCTTTGAAGGGAATCAGCATTTCCGATGGGAACTCCATGTTAAATTTGGAGCACTCCTCCAGCAGTTGTTTCTTCTTCTCCTGCAATTGCTGCCAGTGGATGCGGCGTTCCTTGAAAACCTCGAGAGTAGAGTGCTCGTTGGCCTCCAGTTCGGCTATGGTAGACTCCCACCTGAGTAGGAATTTCTCTGCTTCGTTCTTCAGATTTTGCAGCTGTGTCTCCGCCTGGTTTTTGATCATGTCCACCTGTCGCTGCAGGATCACTGCATGGTTTTCCAGCAGAGGCTGTAGCTGCTCCCACTGCTGCAGGATTCCCGACAGGGCAGTCACTCTTTCCTTGCACCAGCCTGCCAGACAGGCATCCTTTTCCCTCACCGCCTCCAACGTTTTCTCGATCTGCGGCAGCTCAGTCATTATCTTTTCGTACTTCATGCCCGACTGACTGATGCTGCCCTCGTCCATGGGCACGTTCTGAAGGAACTGCAGAGCACTCTGCAGGAATTCCTGAATTAAACTCACATCCGTGAGGATAGCCGTTCGTAAGCTGTTGGCCAGAGCCTCCCAATAGCGTCGGCTAATGAGTTCTATATCCGATCTCAGGGGCAGTACATTGATCACTATGCAATCGATGGATTCCTCGGCGTGCTGAAGTTTTGCCAACTGCT